ATAATAATATTTAATAAACAATAACAACAACAGCCATCAAATAAGTTGCTAGGCAATTCAGTCAAACGTAAAAAGGCAGCGCTCTGATATACAGCATTGAATTTACATAAGCATGAGATTTTGCCAAAACTATCTTCTCTGGAACAAATAATAGATTAATGAGACCAAAGACTGCTCGTTAGATTTACCCAAAACAAATTACAGCTCATGTGTAACCTCTACAGAGACATCAGAGCCAGCGGTAAATTCCAGAAGATGTGGCCGAGGTGAGGCGCTCTCGGGAGGCTTCATGAGCGCAGACCATCTGGAGCTCACATGTCCGAAAATGTCGACGCAAACTTTCAAATAGACGTTATCTTTATTAACAATCTGCATATTTGAACTAAAAACAAGTACATTCTTGCCTGAAAACCTCTTAAAACTACATTCCGTGACACAAAAACAGTAATATTTATAAAATGATACTGGATTTGGGCATCCGCCATGACACTCGCTGTAAGAAGTACCGCAAGCGGAGTGATACAATTACATCGCACTCTAATCAGCCAATCAGATTCGAGGACCAGAAAGAACTATTGTATATGGAAGGGATAATGCACGGCTTGCTGTGCATTAAATTATTTTTATACACGACGTGGAGGCCGGTTGCTAGCCATGCATTATCCCGCTTATACCTTCCGCTTATACTATACCGGAGGCAACCACCTGGTTCTTGGCCTCCACGTCGTGCATTTAAAATACTTTAATGCACGGCAAACCGTTGATTATCCCTTACATATACATTATATAGAATTTATATTACATAGTTTTAATGTTAGTTTTAGTAAACCATAATCACCATGCATTAGAGTGATGTTAAGTAAGATAAATTCTGCAGATACTGATGCTTGTTTTTTATTAATTTTCACACATTTATAAGTGAAGCCGGTGTGTGTGTGTGTTTGCGTGTGTGTGTTTGTGTGTGTTTGTGTGTGTGTGTGTGTGTGTGTGTGTTTGTGTGTGTTTGCGTGTGTGTGTGTGTGTGTGTGCGTGAGTGCGTGTAGTATACAGTGTTAACTGTAATATTAATAGCAGCAGCGATTCTTCATATAGAAACTCACAGAGATGTTGTTCTGCTCCTCTGAGGATGATCAATATTTCAGTGTTTGTTTTGTTGGCGTAGCTTTGATTTTGTCTTTAATATTGCAGGTAAGAAGCGCACAGATACTGATTAAACAAAGATGATCGTATCACATCAGATTTCATACACACAACTTGAACCGACTCTGTGTGTGTTTCTAATAACTGAAGCATGGAAATGCACTTATGCTGTGTTTGTGAGTGATTTCTGTTGGCAGTGAAACTATGAAACCTCACAGTTTACTGTCACTTATTTCTATTGTCACGTTTCATTTGCTTTGATGGCGGTGACAATTTCTTTTGCTGCAACACTTCTTCACTGCATTGTATGATTACACCAGTAAATATAGAGAATGCTTAGAGAAAATACATTTAAAGTGTAAAATCATAACATTTTAATTAAATAAACTTACAGGATTTGAGCAAAGTCTTGTAATTAAATGCACAGAGTGAAATAAAATAGACAAAATGGGACAAGATTTAGTAATTAAGCAGATATTTTTGTGTTTATAAAAAAAGCTTTAAATAAAAAGTATTTAATGCTTGGTTTATATTTCTTATATTTACTTTTTTCAGTATTGCAGCACTAACTTATGTCTATAAAACAGTTTTAATTGTCATAAGTCATTAAAGCCATAATATTTTTTTTTTATCAGAACAAACTTTGAAGTACTTACTTTGTTAGAAGGACCCATATAGACCTTTACGATTTTTAATTACAAGTGCATTTAAAAAATATATATTTTATAGTCTTTTATAGAGTCTTTTTTTTTTTTAGATTGAATTTTATAAAATGTCTGTATTTGTTGAATTGTTTGTTGAATGTTGAATCTGCCATGTACTAGTGAATGATATGGCAATACTTTTAAATACAAATGTAAAATGTAAATGGATTTTTAATGGATTCTGCTATGAAGTAATTAATTATTTAAAATCAATTTATATTAAAAGTATAAAATAATATATATTTTAATTATAAAATAATGTTAGTATTCATTATAATAAAAAATAAATTGTATATATGGGTTGTTTTTACATAATAATTATATAATAAAATAATATAAGTATTTATTATATACAATATAATTGTATAATATTAAAATATATTTTTAAAAAATTGTATTTTGTATAATTTAAAATACATTCTAGAGCTGGGTTGTTTTTATTTTAAGAGATTTTTAAAATGCTTTACCTTTAGCTTTGTCTTATTTTATTTATATTTATTGTATTCAATATTGAACTTGCCATTAAAAACAAATGTATTTTTTAACAGTTTCTGAAATGAAACAGTTATTTATTTCAGTAAGGTAAATTTATATTTACAAATATTTTAAATTATAAAATAATATAAGCATATATTATAATATAAAATATTAAAACGATATTTTAAAACATTATTTATGTAATTTAAATTAATTGTACATATTAATTTTATTTATTCATTTTTGTAGTCAGTGTAAGTTAGTAGGTGAATTTCTCTGACTATGATCATGATGTGAAGGTTTTGAGAGCTGCTGGTTTGTTTCTGAGTGCTGCTGTGTCCTGAGAGGTCAGAGGTCAGCTGAGAACCAATCAGACGAGGCCGGGGTCAAATTGAATCAGCAGAGATGTGGCCTCTCGTGCTCCGAGCACAAAACATTAATGAAGCCAATCAGGTTAGGCCTTGTAGTGTGAGGCCGGAAGAAATGAAATAATATTATTTCTTTAGAAATAATCAGACAGAAATGAAGACAAAATCTGCTCTGAGTTCTGCAGTGCAATAAGAGAAACTTAAAGTGCTGTTATTTATTACTTATTTGTTTATAATATGAAATGAATGGCTAACACTTGATTTTACTGTCTGTGTGGCACTTTACATGTTACTAGTATTAATTATCATTTTAATAGCAGTTACAAGCAGCTCCACAAATGCAAAAGGAACAGAAAACACAGATTAATTGATCGAATATTGGTTTATTGGTTCATTGTAAAGGAACAGAAAATACAGATTAATTTATCAAATATGTGACCCTGGAGCACAAAAGCAGTCATAAGTAGCCAGGTATATTTGTAGCACTAGCCAACAATACATTGTATGGATCAACATTATAGATTTTTCTTTTATGCCAAAAATCATTAGGATATTAAGTAAAGATCATGTTCAATGAAGATATTTAGTAAATTTCCTACTGTAAATATATCAAAACTTAATTTTTGATTAGTAATATGCATTGCTAAGAACTTCATTTGAACAACTTTAAAGGCCATTTTCTTTCTATTTTTTTGGCACCCTTCAAATAGTTGTATCAGATTTTCAAATAGTTGTATCTTGTAAATATTGTCCTATCCTAACAAACCATACATCAATGGAAAGATTATTTATTCAGCTTTCAGATGATGTATTAATCTCAATTTTGAAAAATTGACCCTTATGACTGGTTTTGTGGTCCAGGGTCATATATTAGTTTATTGGTTTATTGTAAAGGAACAGAAAACACAGATTAATATATCAAATATTAGTTTATTGGTTTATTACTGGAATTATTGATTATATTTGTGTGTACATCAGGGCTTTAACAGGATGGATGAATTTCTTAAACCTTACAGTGTTAGACGTAGTTTCTGACAAAATTATTACTGGATTTTTATTACAAATTTTTTATGAAAACCTACAAAAAAATAATTTTTCACAAAATATGAATTAAATAAACAAAAATATATCCATATAATGCGTAGTAAAATTTTAGCAAATAAAGAGTAAACATCTTAAGTAATTCTTGTAAGATCCTTTAAAATAATATAATTACTTAAAAATGTATAATTTATATATATTTTATGACTGTATTGCTGTTATAGAATCAAACAAACATTCATCCAGATGATATTAGAGCCATTTTTAATGTGTTATTTGACATTAGTGCAGATTAAAATGGATAAGCATTTATCCATTGTGAGCAGATTGTGAACTGTAATATCTGTGCTCTACATCATCATACGTCGCTGTATTGTGGCCTCAGGCGCGCGCGTGTGTGTGTGTGTGTGCTTGAGACTAATTGCGTGTCCCGTGTTGGAGGGGCTCCTGCGGCACACACACGTTTGGTAACAAAAGAAGCCCATCAACCGCACCCCACACTTCCGCAAGCAAACACCCCTCCGGCTCTCTTTATGCCTCTGTGTGTGTGTGTGTGTGTGTGTGTGTGTGTGCAGCACGTGTCCCTCCAGCACAAGGCCCTGACCATGACCCTAACACACACACACACTCTATTTAGAGCGCTGTCTGGACGCTGAGCACAAAGCCGAAGCTCCACGAGCGCCGCAGCGTTCATTCAGACGAGTCGTGGATGTTTTATGGGCAGGTGTCTCACATTCACAACAAATTCATCTGACCAGAACAAAACAGCATGTGAAATATTACTTTCATTTCCTAAAAAAGGATTTATTTTCATATTAATTATTATTTTAAGGATTTACTTATATTTATAAGACTAACTTGTTATTATTTTATTATTATTATTATTATTAAGGATTTACTTAAATGGATAAGAATTGCTTATATGATTTATTTTATTTTATTTGTATATCCTGTAAAGGGATTTATTATTTTATTTTACATATTTTTTAAAGATTTACTTGATTACTAGAATTTACTTTTATTTATAAGAATTACTTGTTATTATTGTTGTTTTGCTCATGGTGATTTATTTTACTTTTTTATGTTTAAAGATTTACATATATTTGTAAAAATTACTTATGGATTCATTTTGTTTTTATCTTTTGTTATACCGCTCTACATAATTTTCAGTTTCAGAAATAAGTGACTACAGAAATGAACTGTGAATGTTGTTTTATGTTCTTTAAGTGTATGTATGTATCTTTAAGTGACTCTGTGTGTCTGTCTGTAGGCTGTCTGTCGAACCTGCCGCCGAACGCGAAGATCTGTAACTCATACGAGGAGCGGAGGAAGCAGGCGACGGCCATCGTTCTGCTGGGAGTGATCGGAGCCGAGTTCGGTGCAGAGATCGAACCTCCCAAACTACCTTCCCGCGCTCGCACCAGCACTCAGGCTCCCGACGGATTCGGTCTGACCACCGGAGGATCCAACTACTCACTGGCCCGACACACCTGTGAGTACACAAACACACACACACACACACACCTGTAAGCACACAAACACACACACACACGCCTGTGAGTACACAAACACACACACACCTGTGAGTATATACACACACACCTCACACACCTGTGAGTACACACACACCTGTCGGTACACACACACAGACGCACACACACACACCTGTGAGTATATACACACACACCTCACACACCTGTGAGTACACACACACCTGTCGGTACACACACACAGACGCACACACACACACCTGTGAGTATATACACACACACCTCACACACCTGTGAGTACACACACACCTGTCGGTACACACACACAGACGCACACACACACACCTGTGAGTATATACACACACACCTCACACACCTGTGAGTACACACACACCTGTCGGTACACACACACAGACGCACACACACACACCTGTGAGTATATACACACACACCTCACACACCTGTGAGTACACACACACCTGTCGGTACACACACACAGACGCACACACACACACCTGTGAGTATATACACACACACCTCACACACCTGTGAGTACACACACACCTGTCGGTACACACACACAGACGCACACACACACACCTGTGAGTATATACACACACACCTCACACACCTGTGAGTACACACACACCTGTCGGTACACACACACAGACGCACACACACACACCTGTGAGTATATACACACACACCTCACACACCTGTGAGTACACACACACCTGTCGGTACACACACACAGACGCACACACACACACCTGTGAGTATATACACACACACCTCACACACCTGTGAGTACACACACACCTGTCGGTACACACACACAGACGCACACACACACACCTGTGAGTATATACACACACACCTCACACACCTGTGAGTACACACACACCTGTCGGTACACACACACAGACGCACACACACACACCTGTGAGTATATACACACACACCTCACACACCTGTGAGTACACACACACCTGTCGGTACACACACACAGACGCACACACACACACCTGTGAGTATATACACACACACCTCACACACCTGTGAGTACACACACACACACACCTGTGCACACACACACACACACACACACAAACACACACACACCTGTGAGTACACACACACACACACCTGTGAGCACACGAACACACACCTGAGTACACACGCACAAACACACACACCTGATCATTCCCATGAATCATTATGAATGACATACAGTAATCTAGTCTCTTCACTCTCAAACTACTTGTGTATATACAGTGGTGGCTAAAATTATTAGAACACTAGTATTTTCAGCAGCTAAAAGATGGTTTTAAGTCAGTTATTTCTCATCTTATCTGTCTCTTTCTTATTATCTTTTGCTTATCTTATTATATTCTTATCTTTCTTGTTATCTTTTGCTGTACTGTGTCAATAGGAAATATCAGTTTGCATTTCCAAACATTCATTTTGCTATTAATTGTAATAATCCAGTGAGATATTTGTCTGACAGCAGCCAGTGCTCCACACAGAGATCTGATCTGATCATCATCAGTCAGTCTGTCTGGAATGACATGAAGAGACAGAACAAACTGAGACAGACTCAATCCAGAAGAAAATACTAGTGTTCTAATAATTTTGGCCACCACCAAAAATAATTATTTATTTGTATTAATTTTGTTATCATTTATTTTTTACATTTTCTTTTTGGTTTGCGTGTGTGTGTATATGCATTAGTATCACTGAGATACTATTGTGGTTTCATTAATAATCAATATTTTTAATTAGTGTAGTGAATTAATTTTTATTTTTATATTTTTTGTTTTATTTTAACTTGGAAGTTTTAGTGTGTTTGTGATTTATATTAGTTTATTTTTTAAATATATAGTTTTATATACTGTAGTTCTGTATAGTTTTTATTATGTTTCTATTTCAGTTTTATTTTTAGTTATTTTAGTACATCAAGTTATACTAAAATGAAAATGAGAAATGTTGCTTTGACAACTAGCTAAAATAAAATATAAAATTAAACTTATTTCAGTTAAAGTTTCTTTTTTCATTTAACTTTTTTTGTATGGCTTTTGTTTTAGTTCACAGTAATAACCGTATATATAATGTATATATTAATATATTAAATTATATACTCTGTATAAAAATGTCACATTATAATATTGGCAATCTTATTTGTTAAAAAAAGTATTTTAAAAGTGTTTTAGTGCAATCCTTTGTTTTCATTCTTTTGCAAACTTGTTTTTGTTTTTATTTAAATTTTTTACTGCTGGTTTTTCATTTTCAGACTTTTGTCTTTGCAATATTTTTTATTATCAGTAAAAATCTTTGTTACATGAATTTAGTGTGCAGCTGATTTTTATAGTGCATTCTGGGAAGCAAACGGTTCAGTGCACTGGAATATTGTCTAACTGCACTTTGTTAGTATGAGTATTATGCTATAGGCACTGTGTGTGTGTGTGTGTGTGTGTGTGTGCGCGTGTGCGCGTGTGTGTGTGTGTGTGTGTGTGCACGTTTTTGTGACATATGAGGACACAAAATTTAATAATGAGATGGGTATGACATAGGTATTACAAGGAGAAGGTGACTTATGAGAACATTACCCCATGTCCCCATTTTTCAAAACGCTTATAAATCATACAGAGTGAGACAATTTACAAAAACAAACGTGTGTGTGTGTGTGTGTGTGTGTGTGATAGACTCATTCAATTAGTCTGTACCCAGGGGCAGCAGAGAGCTCGTAACGTCCCTCCGTGTTGAGTGTGTGTGTGTTATTGTATGTATTGTTTGTAATGTGAATGTCTCGAGGGTTTTGAGGAGCAATTAGACAGTTGCACATTTTAACATATTGAGCTGTTTTCCAACACTTCAGATGTTTTTGCACAGCATTGAATGACATGATATCAAGATTTCCTTACTAGATACTAATATCAGTGATTTTTTTCACACACTTCATTAAACTCAGTATAAATTATAGTATATATATATATATATATATATATAATTTATTTTAATTAGCTTTACAGTAATAAGAATTTGGGTTAATTCAGTTAAAATTTGTTTCAAGTAACTAAAGATTTTATGGTTTTAGTTTTAGCTAACTATAATAACCCTATATATAATTTATAAATTAATGTATTTTAAACTCAGCATATCAAATATCACATATAATAATGGCAATCTTATTGGTTATTGACCATAATTGCCAGTAAATCAATATCCACCAGTATCTGTTGGTAAATGCAATACAGAATATTGCATATTTTACAAGCACAGTTTTATCATCATTACTAACAGTGTTGCAGTATTGTAAAAGTGAACACAAACCTTATATAGTATAGTAAGCGAGAAGCGAGCTCAGTGCTGCAGTGACAGGAAGTGATGTCACAGTAATGCAGTGTGTGTGTGTTGCTGTAAATCCAGTGTGCTGAAGGCATTCCCTGTTTAGACACCCTTTGTTTCTCTCTCTATCTCTCCATCTGCCGCCTCTCTTTCCAGCTCAACTCCATTGATTTTAACTTCACTTTCGATTTGACCGCAGCAGAGGCCAGAGACAGACAGACAGAGAGAAGGAAAGACAGACAGACATATAGACAGGCGGACAGAGAGAGAGGCACACAGACAGACACAAACAGACAAAGACAGACAGACAGATGGAAACACAGACAGAGAGACAAAAACAGATAGACAGACAGATGGACAAACAGATGGACAGACACAGACAGACAGATGGACAGACACACAGACAGATGGATGGACAAACACACAGACTGATGGACAGACGGATGGACAGACACAGACAGATGGATGGACAGACAGACACACAGACAGACGGACGGACAGACGGACAGACAGACACACGGACAGATAGATGGACAGACACACGGACAGACACAGACAGATGGACAGACACACAGACAGACACAGACAGTTGGACAGACACACAGACAGACACGGACAGACACACAGACAGACACAGACAGATGGACAGAAACACGGACAGACAGATGGACAGAAATAGACAGACACAGACAGATGGACAGGCAGACGGAGACACAGACAGACAGTCAGCAAAGAAACAGATAAAGATGGATGGACAGACGCACAGAGACAGAGAGAGAGACAGGAGGGCAGAGGGTCCTGCAGTAATAAGGCAACTGGAAATGAACATCATATATGACCGTACAAGTCATTCTATATCGCTGTGTGTGTGTGTGTGAGTGAGAGACAGTTTCCAGTAAAACGCTTCTGGGTGTTGGAGCTAATGGTTTAAAGCTCTCTCTCTCTGTCTCTCTCTCTCTCTCTCTCTCTCTCTCTCTCTCTCTCGTCGCTCTCTAATTAGCTTCCTGTGGCCCAGCCTCTAATGTGGCATGTTTATTGCTTTAACTAACCACTCATTAGCCCGGCTGATGTTTTGTCGATATTAATTCATCCATTGAAACCAAGTCAAGTCTTAAACAAAGATGTCCCCTCTGAAAAATGGACTCCACCCGTTTGGCCGGCCCGAGAAACGGGACAATAAATTTGCAGGTGATTTGGCCTGTTTGTCATCTTCCTGTCCAAACAGGAAATGAGGTGTAGTGCGATGTCTCTGTATGTCTCCGTATGGCTGCTCATTCTGACCAAGTGCCGCCCATTTAGACAGGACATGTAAATAGACGTTTAAGGGCAGGTTCAGCAAAAAAAAATAGAGTGAAATGTCTGTAAATTATTAATTAATTCATCCTTGCATAAATGATCGCATTGTATTGAATGTGGTAATTTACTTAATGATGGTTTTATGAATAAATTACACAGAGGTTAATTTTGCTCAGGTTTCATAAATGAAATTTAGCACATTTCTCTTAAATTCGCATTACCATAATCTTCAGTTTTTTGTAGTTATTCTCATTTTCATTACAGGCTCATTACTGTAATTGTGCTGTTTTATTATAATACAGTGCTAATATTGCTGTAATATAAATATTTTATTAAATTTAAATAAGCATACATTAAACTT